TGTGAATACTTACACTATGACTATACGTTTCACTGCAACTGCCCACAACACAACATCTAAAAACTCTCTCTCAACAAAATAAAATAGACAAAAAAAAGAAAAAAACGCCGACCGAAAAATGTATATCGTTTAAAAGTATACTGAATGACCAGTGTTATAATATTACGGCTCAGGGGTATGTCTTCCTCACACATTTTGGCATTTGGTGACGCACTTTCGGCGAGAGTCGGAAATCCGGAAACAGTCGACCGTTTCAGGATAGGTGGGCGTGGCTACAACACGAGAAATATCCCAAATTTACTTGGATACGAGTAATCATTTTCGGCAAAAAAATCAATAACTGCCCATTTCAGTGCGACACAGATCTAAAATGGGAAACGTGGGGATGGGCATTGCACAAATTTGAACAAAATCCGTCCATGCATATCTGAGATCAGGGTCCGGAATGGTGAAAATGTGCGATTTCAATGCATTTTCGGCATTATAGCGGCCGCCATTTGGCTATCGTTAATGAGATCATGAAACAAATGCACATACATATTTGTGACATGATGTACCTTGTGTGTGTGTGAAGTTTGAACTCTATCAATCCAGGCATGTCTCAGATATGGATCCAGAACTGAATTATTTAAAACAAAATGGCCGCCAGTCGACCATTTCAAACCCGATTAAAAAAATGACGTGCATCAAGGTCCTATTATGTTTAATGTTTGTACCAATTTTAAACAAAATCCGTCCATGCATAACTGAGATCCGGGTCCGGAATGGTGAAAATGTGCGATTTTGATGCATTTTCGGCCTTATAATGGCCGCTATTCGGCTATCGTTAATCGGATCATGAAAAAAATGCATGTGCATATGTCCCATATAATGTGTGATGTATGAGTGAAGTTTGAACTTCATCGGTCCATGCATGTTCGAAATACAGGTGATCACGGACGCACCACAGGGCAAAACACAAGTCCCCGTTTTCGGACTACGTCCGAACGGGAACTAATCAGTAGCAGTGTTTGAAATACTTTCCAGTCGAACACGACTAAAAATATGTAAACTGATTTGAAAAGAATATACCATGTATAACATGTTGGTGACATGTTTTCAGGCTTCCAGAAAACACGTATTGCAAGTCAGGTTTAGAAACAACAACTGCAGTTGGGTGTGTCTTATTTATTTATTATTTTTTGGTGAAGTAATTACACGCATTACACTAGCAGAAAAGACTACAACTGCCGTTTCGTGGATATTTGCATAGTGTTTATCTTTGGAAGGAATTAAATGATAAAATCTTATCTGTATACTCTGTTGTTGACGATTCTGATATAACGGGTGATAAGCTTCCAGTTGCAAACAATGCGTGTTTATCTAACGTCCATTGTCAGCATTATTGTCAGTCGAGACTTCGTCGGAGAAACATGATGGTCATACAGTACTCATTTCGCCCAACCTTCCGCTTTTACATCGACCGCTTATCGCTTAATTTCCGACCACGCGGTCTTGTCCGACCGGAAACCGACCGCATTTTAATCGCGTTTTTTTTTTCGCTCGCTCGCTCATTGAA